CTTCCAACACATGTATAGAGTTCTGTGTCCTAAGTCATCTCCTGACGCCAGAGCCACCTAAATCATCCTTGTCCTGGTGAACAGTTTTGTGCTCTTTTATACAATATCTGACATCTGAACCATGTGTTTAACTTTTATAACTGGAATCACTAGGTAACTGGTCATTGACATTGCACAATCAGCTCCATGTTTTCCAGCATTTTGTCCCTTTCTGCTCATCAGTCACTACACCTCAGTTTCAATGCTCTGCTGCACTTGATAATATCAAACAACACATTACAATTCAGAGTTCCAACATTTACATTGCCTGTCCTCTTTCTATTCTTTGGTTGTGTCATCTTATCTTTCCTATAATCAAACACTTACTGAAAATTCATCTCTACTCAAGAAAATATCTAAAGATGGATGTAAATATTAAAACAATTACCATTTCTTTCAGTGAGATCATAATCCATAGAGAAATGTAGGTATCATAGCAATTAAGAGCATTAGGAGTATGTATCATAATCAATGATCATGCTGGCCTATAATTGTTATATATGGATTTAAATGTGGGAGTAAATAAAGGAAATGTGAAGGTAGTTAGAAAGGGCCTGTATGTTTTGCTTCTTTGTTATATAGAGAGAATATAATCTCTCAGCATATGTACTGACCCTTGAATTTTACATTTCCACTACTTTTAAGTTGTTCTTTGAGATTTAATTGCAGTATATGTGTTGTAGATACAACAAATTGTGGCTCAGCACCCCATAGACAGTTGTTCTCTGCATTTTAACTAGTTTTGGACTTCTGTAATGATCTCTATTTGCTACCAATGGAAGTTTCTTTGCTGATGAAGGCTGAGACCTACTCTTAACTCTGGGTATCAGAGTAAGTACATAGAATACAATTTTAAATTATATTGGCATAGGATGGTGGAAATACTAAGTTCTCTTCTAGGTTAATGGCCTCATCATTCATTAAACTATGGAGCTAAGTTAACAGTATCAGACATGATTTCTCTCCTCTTGAGACAGCCTTAAGTTTATTCATGAAATTTCAAGAACATGATTTTGTAAACAAGGCCTGAACAGTGGCAGCACCATTTGACAGGCCAACATGGATGGGAAATCTGACAATTCTCCACCTCTGGATTGAAAGCTATTTAATGAGTGCACATAAAGGGAGAATCAGTCTTCTCTAGGTATTGGTTATCCAAGATTATGTAGTCAGCCCTAAAATTATATACATATGACCAACACTGAAAGAATTTAGCAGTGTATTAATATGCATATAATGCTAATTATTATAAAAATAAATATATGTAATATATTTTATCATATATTAACATTTTATATAATTCAAAATATATCATTGTATATATGTCTAATTTTATATGTATGTATAGTAAAAGAGACTAGGCATTTGAAAGACAGCTGGCACCCTTTTAATGGTAATCTTCTTTATTATAGTATATTAATTACACAAAATAATGAATATCATTACGTATGATCACTTCCAATGACAGGTTCAGACATTGTAACACAAAGTTGTAAATTCAGGATCTTTAAAACTCCTAGATATGTTGACAGTGGTTATTGTGTCTAAATCTGACAATGGATGTAACATGGAATTAATTTAAATGTTATTAGCTTCATGTGCTTTCTGATGCATGTTCACTGTTTTATACTGTAGTCCAATATCTAGGATCAGAAAAGGTTTCAGAGTCTTTAAAGGGTCATTGTTAAAGCATTGTCTACATCCACCACCTTTCTACTACTGTGATTTTCACAGATCCACTACAACTCATATTATCCTAATAGTGTCTATTGCATCCATTTCCAACCTGGAAACTTTATAAGTGACTCTGTGTTTGCATTAGTTTAAGCTCCTTAGCAGTGACTTTCTGAGTCACCATTCCATTGTGAATCATCTTTGACTCCATCCTCATGTTCTATGACTCCTCTCGATCACAATATCTTACAAAAGACACTACTACAAATGTTTTGCAGCTCATGTTTTAGGCATTTTAAAATCCTCTATGACACTAATAAATACTATTGACACCTAGAGTCTTTGTCATTTTGGGGATCACTTTTTTTATACATCTCAGATACACAATTGTCCTGTATTCTCTAGTTCCCTTCAGGTTTTTTTTTTTTTGTGCTCATTTAACTTCCCTTATCATATCTTTAACGTTCACGCAACCTGTTTCTTGTATTGATATGGCTTAAATAGAAAATGCTTTCCAAAGACTTTTTTTTTACAGGATGTTCACCAACTATGGCCCTATTTAGGAAAGTTGTGGACCTTTTTGCCAGTTAAACATAACTGGAAGTGGTCAGTAAGCATGTAATTCCTATGTATATTATTCTTGGGTTCTAACTTTTGGCTGTAGGTTTGTAATATTTGGCATTTATTATGCTGAGGTGTTACCCCTGTATCTTTTGACACTCCATGGCATTTATGATGAAGGAATGCTGGATTTTATTAAAAGCATTTCGGGCATCAGGGCTGGCAAAGTGGATGATTCCATCAAATCCATCCCTCAGAGATCAGACATCCTCATGGGAGAGGAGGCAGAAAGAGTGCAAGAGCCAGAGGGGATGGGTGACACCAGGACAACAAGGCCCTCTGAATCAACTGAGCAAAACTCTATGAATTCACTGGGACTGAAGTCACAAGTACAGGGACTGCACAGGTCTTCATCTAGTCCTCTGCAATACATTTTGGCTTTCCGTTTAGTATTTTTATGGGCCTCCTGAGTATATGAATGAGTGGGTTTGTTATGTCCAACCTCGATGAGATATATTTTATCTTATGTTTTATCAATTTTTGTTATATAACAGAAGACTTATTTTCTAATGACAGAAAGGAAGTTGTTAAGATTGGGAGGGGAGGTGGAGAGGAACTTCGAGGAGTCGAGGGAAGAGAAACTTTAATCAGGATATAGTATATAAGGAAAGAAACTATTTTCAATAAAAGGGAAAAAAGAAAGTGTATTTTTGTGGCATCTAATTAGATAATCAAGTGATATCTTTCATTGAGTCCATCTCTGTGATGTACTACATTTAATGGTGGCCATAGCTCAGCCATTCTTATATCTTTTGATAAATTGTGATGCCATTTTATTTTATACTTAAATCACTTTATTGTAATGAGCTCATAAATAAAAACATTAAAGAGATAACATTGAAATAAATACTCAAAAGGACACTTGCCCAGACCTAAGCTCAGCATGCTTCAATTTAGTTCTATACAGTTAAAATAGCAATGGTGAACACTCAGGAGGCAGAGGCAGGCAGAACTCTGTGAGTTCGAGGCCAGTCTGGTCTCCAGAGTGAGATCCAAGACAGGCACAAAGCTTACACAGAGAAACCCTGTCTCGAAAAAAAAAAGAATAGCAATGGAGAAGCCATAGAGTTTTGCTTAGGGTTTTATACTGTCACTAGCAATCTTATATTTATGACCCTATCCACTGCAGAATAAGAAAATGGCAGAGTTGAAATTAGAAAAATAATTAACTTGATATACTGTTCCATAACTAACAAATGCTTTCGCCTGCTCCTTTGCCTAACATTACCTTTTTTGGTCTGCTTTATACGTATTATAATATAGTTATACTCACCCATTTACCTATACACATTTGCACATTATAGGATAGGATTTGCACATGAAAGAGAACGTATGATTTTTTTCTGAGTTTGTGTGATCTGGCTTAATGTTATTAGGTATGTCCATCAATTTTCTTACAAATTTTGAGATTTCTTCAACCACTGTTGTTGAGTAATAGTCCATTTTATATATGAACACAAATTTGATTATGGATTTATATGTTTATTAACATATATGTGGGTTCCATTTAATTGTTACAGTAAATAGAGCAGCAATAATTATAGATGTGCATATATCTCCATGGAAGAATATGGAGTTCACTGGGTATACGTCCAGTAGTGGAATAGCTGGGTTATAAAGTAGTTCCATTTTTAGTTTTGTGATGAATGTCCTCAATGGGTGTATTAATTGACTTCTTAACTCTTTTTTTTCTTTTCTTTTTTAATATGTAATTTTCTATTTATTTTACATACCAACCACAGATCCCCTCCCCTCTCTCCCATCCCCCAGCCTTCACCCCACCATCCCAATCACCATTCCCAGCTCCTCCAAGGCAAGGCCTCCAGTGGGGAGTCATCAGAGCCTGATACACTCACTTGAGTCAGGTTAAAACACCTTCCCCTGGACCTAGGCTCTGTTGATACAAAACCAGATAACAACACCACAGCAACAAAGAAAATTTACAGACTAATCTCCCTAATGAACATAGATGCAAACAATATTCAAGATAACATCAAAACCATCATTCATTCCCATTGGTTTCTGTAGGAGATGAAAGATACTGATCATATTTTTTGAAAAAAGTTGCAAGGGAAGATTCTCTTTTCTGAGACTTTGTTGAGGACTGTTGCTACAAGCTTCAGAGCAAATCAACCTAATTGTCTCTCATGGAGCTGAAAGCATGTATTTAGGAAGTTATGGCTGAAGAAGTTTGCTGGTACTGATGCAGAGTAGAACAGTGATGAATGGACCAGGGCCTCCTGAAGCACAACATGGCCAAACATGGTTTTAGTTTTCCTTGCAGTTAGACTGTGGGACCAACAAGCGGTCTGTAAAATAACCAAGTACTCAGGATGCCCTGGCAGAATAAAAGTCAGAAGATGGGCAGTTTAATTGAGAGAATTTTTTACTTCATCCTTTGGACATCACCTGGACAAAAAGGAAGCCTAGCAGGTGTAAATTGAAGAGTGAGATCATCCTCTATACAATGGGATAAGTTCAGGGAGACTGCTAATACAACCAGCTGACAAAACTCTACAACTCACCATTTTTGTTAATAGTTAAAAGACAAGGCATTACCTCCTTAACTTTCTGTACTGACTTTCTGAGGGTGACGTGTAAGTAAACACCTGTATACCACACAAAACATATCATTTACACACTTAAAATAAGAACAAGTAATTTTTTCATGATCCGGAACAAGTGATTCTAGGCACCATGGAGTAATGACTCATAAAAACAAAGGGTCCAAAACAGGGAAAACATAGAGATGTTAGGAAACTGATGTTCACCAGCCACCAATTGTAATTATTCAAAAGAGCAATGCAGCCTTGTAAGATGGAGGAGAGAGTATAAAAACTCAGAAATGTAGACACCAGAACCAGGATGCTCTGGGTGGCTCTGGACTCAAAACTGATTCTCCTGGAACTACAAGTGCTATGGATGTGTTGAACACTCAGTTTGTGTCTGTACAGAATCACAATCATGTAGCAACTAGACCAGGCCATGAGAAAAGAAAAGAAGATTTCAGGGCATACTACCAGTGCTGAATAGAGGGAGTCACTGATTTCATCTCGCCCATCAGTTGAGCAGTATCCAAAGTCCCGTTTTCTTGTCACATTTTTACTATTCCTTTTGATAAATTGATACACAGGGAAAATGGCATTTATCAACATGTACAAGACCCAGAGGAGGGCAATGCAGCATTCAATGTATTTTGCAGATTTAACTTTTTGATCCTTACAGCAGAATTCCTTCTGACTGATGGTAATGGCCTGGAAGATACTCAAGAGGCAGGTGGTGCCAATGGACACACTCCGGCCAACCCTTTGAATATATAAAATCAGTCTGCATCCAAAATAATTTACAAACTGCTTCAATCCAAAAGCTGCCATTGTGTGTGGCACTCCTCTAGAGAGAATGATTAAGGTATTGGCTGCCATGAGGTGCATGTGAATCAAATATGTGGGCTTTAATTTGCTTTCTGCATAGTGAACTAAATAGTAGTAAAGATGAGAGAAATTTCCCAGAATTCCAGCTGTAGTTTGTGACAATAAAATGATTTTGATGGTCAGATTCCAGAAGTCCATTTTGTGATTGGGTATGGTTTTATGTAATTAATGGCCAAAGCCATTTCTCTGGTCAAATGAATGAGAAGTATTAGTAATCCAAAGTGCTATAGAAATGACTAAATCAAAATGTCCTTTAGAGCTCTGGAGTACAATCTCAGCCTAGACTACATATCAAGAATTTCTCAAAGTTACTGACAGGGGCAATAATTTCTTACCATGCATACTACTCTAAGCTATCTAAAGACCTCAGCACACACATGTGGCTGAGGGATATGCCTTCATAATGATGCAACAGGCAGTATTATGGGCTAGGATATTTGGCCTGTGAGAAGCAATGGAATGTGAGAGCCAATATATCAAGCATAATGTAAGAGAATGAAAATATACTAATATTTTCTAGAATTGGTATACAAGAAGATAATTTTAGTAGCTGTAAAAACACTCAAAGACATCAATTCTTCATATGTATCTCATCTAACATTAAAAGATGAGTAATGAAAAGTTTATAATGTCATTCAGAATATATCTAGAGTTATATACAAGAAAATTTTATTAAGAGCATAAAACATATTCAGATGATGGGGTAAGTGACAGCTTTTATCTTATTAAATTAAGAGCTAGCTTTTATGTAAAGTCACACCAACTAGACACACACACTATTGTGCACACTTGGGTTAGGACTGTTAGAGCACTCAGAACATCCAATGGGATAAAATGCCACACAATACTCAACAGAATAATAGTAGGCAAAATAAGTCAGCAGAAATAACAAGGAGAGCTCCACTATCTGAAGATTGACAGCTAATGGGGAAATGTTCATTGTCTCTATTGAAACTATGTCTGTGAAATTCAGTCAAAACTCAGAAGTCTAGAGTAGAAATTGTAGAAAAGAAGGCAGTTGGTTAAACAGCACATTAGTGCAGATGGAGGAGACTCTCAGGACGCAATACTCTTCCTGCAGGAGAATGTGTGTGTAGCCCTCTTTAGTAGGGTGAGATCTCCTTGAAGATGTAGGCAGAAGCAGCTGTGAATCAGTACCAGGCTGAACCAAGGAGCCTCAGGAAGGAAGACATTACTTCACTAATTTGCTTTGCAAAGACAGTTAGCTGGACAATCGGCAGAACAATCAGGAACTTGAGAAGAACTGCCAGCGAATCTTGAAATCTGAAGAAGTTAAAACAAAGTGCAGAGATGACCTTAGGAACTACCAGATAGGAGCAGTTTCTCTTTAACCATGCTCTGGGACTGGAAACTCCCTAGAAAATGGCTGCATCAGAAAATAGAAAGTATTCTAGTAAGTGAGGTACTACAGGCCTTGAAGGATCAATAGCATACATTGTGTCTCAATGTTGTTTCTTAGCTTATCATTTTTAAAATATGTGATTATGTGGGAGTGACTGTGTATCAAGGCCACAAAAGCTATTATGTGGCCCATAAGAGGATTAAAAAGAGACTCCATAAGATGCCAGTGAAGATGAGAAAATACAATAATAACAGCATAGAAGAAATATGTCTGGATCACATATGCTGGATATGGGTGGACAAAGGGAAAAAGTGGGATTGGTTAAATCAAAACACTAAATAGGAAAAAGCATAAAAGAAACCTGCTACTTTTAATTTAATTAAAAATTAGTTACCAAAATATAATACATAATTAAAATGACAAATATTAAAGGAAAATATAGTTGACAACACCAAAGTTAGGTATAATTCTGGGTAAACCAAGAACAACACGGCCTGGCAATGCCTTTGAATGTCACCATAAACACTCAGGGAAACTGGACACATCTGCTTATGGGGAACTAATACAACAAAACAACCTACATGCCTAAATGCCAGTCCAAAGAATGTCAACCAAAATAAAGTTCTTTGCATCATCAAAGAAAAATGATAGTTATAATTCACTAATAGTTTTGCATACTTCAACCCGCAGACCACATTAGCCCAGTTACAGTTCTTGATCAATTAATCAATACAGACACAGGATAGGATTCTGCATATCATTAGGTCTTAAATCTTGCAGTATCATTTTGTGCTTGATCTGTAGAGTTCTAAGTGATATTTTCCTTGTGACATTCCCATGAGATGTATGGGTATGAGTTTTGTTTCCTTATTTGAAAATGTGCAGATCTCAAACATAAATGAAATTGAGTTTGTTTTAAGGTTGTTGAAGGAATGACTGCTGGTGTCTGCACATGAAACTCATGGAATCACAGTTTGAGACTTATATTGCAACAAACATTTTACAATTTTTGTCAACACTAATGCTCACTGAGAGGTGAGATTATTGAAAAGTTCACCAGAACAGTATCACAAACATGTTCTTTATTAATGTTTTTGCTTCTTCTCCTGATGATCACATACATAGGAAATATGATATGTTTTTAATTTTTAGCTTCTTTATTATTTGTGAGTTTCACATCATTCACCCCAATTCTGTTCACCTCCTCATCCCTCCATTCCCCCCAACCCTGCAGAGCCCTCCCTCAAAAGAAAACAAAACAATCAAGCAAGCAAGCAAGCAATCAGAGAAACAAAAACAAGAACAAAAGAAACAAAGAAACAAACAAACAAAAAAAAAAAACCTTCTTAGGTTCTCTTTCCTTCCCACCTCTCCAAAACCTCTTCATTCATCCTGGAGGCATTGGGGGCCTCAATGTGTCATATATTATACCCTTTCATCCTATTAGCTTTACTAGCAAATGTAGATGTAACCAACGGTCTTATTAAATAAGAAACACAGAGCCGATTCAGAGAAGAAAGCCAAGAGGTCAGAGCTAAGAGTCTCACCCTTCCTGATTCAGGGATCCTCTTCAGCCAAGAGAGCTCTCCGAAAAAAGAACCTACTTCCTGTGTGTATGTATTTATAGTCTTTCTGTTCTGCCTTCTCATTGGTTGTAAACCCAAACATGTGACTGCCTCGTCACTGCCTGTATGAACCGCCCTCCAGGTCCTTAAAGGCGTGTGCCACCGCCGCCAAGCACTTGCTATGGCCCTAATAGCTCTGACCCCCAGACAACTTTATTTATTAACATACAATTAAAATCACATTTCAGTACAAGTAAAATACCACCACAAGCAAATGTTCATTGCAATGAGTCACTGGTCTGGTACAAGGCACCTGGTCTTGTACATCATCATCATTGGATTCTCATTGGAACTTCTCTGGGATATTCCATGACAGCCCTTAGTCTTGGAGATCCCTGCAGTATTGTTTCATGGGATCAGTCTCTTCAAAAGCTACCGCCTGTCCTAAATGGGGTAGATGTTAGAGTGGGCCCAGTTGTGGGCCTGGGCAATAATTGAGCCAATCTTTGTGGATCACTGAGGTCACCCACCTCAGGAGGGGCAGAGTCAAATCCCCGATGCCCATGCCTTCAGCATTGTTTCATCCTTGCCTGTGATGAGGGGTGGGGAATATCTCTCTGGAGTACAGGGAACAACTATAACAGTTTAAAATACACAATGTTTAACATGGGACAAATGAAAACTCAATATCCCTGGAAGCTTTTTAAAGTTCCACATACCTGGCACTGGGTTTAATGAGAGTTCAGGAAATTTTCTAGAAAAAAGATGCCAGTTCTTCTACCTTGTCACATCTGGGAAGATGTAAAAAAGACAAATATTGTAGGTAGAGTGTTGTCACAATGGTCACATCCATTGATATCCTGTATTCTACATGAAAATATGTTTTTAAAAATTTTGTAAAGAGTTAAGTGTATAATAGAAAATATAATATTTGTGAGTTAAATATAATTTATGTATATGTGAAAAACAGCAATGACAATTTATGATTCACTGCTATACTCTCAGTTTGACCTCTTTTTTGATATTTAAAATTATATAATATAGACTTACCACTATTTCTACTGTCAAGAACTGAACTTAGAATCAAAAAAGGTGTGTGCCTTTTTAAATCCAAAAAGCGCTTAGAGGCAGAGTCAATATTGAAGGGACTTGACCATGGCTAGTTTGGCACAAGTATGGTCATCTCAGTCTATGCTAACAAAGCCATGTAGGGTGGTATCAAACATGATTCAACCTTCTGTGCAGTTTGTGTTCCTCATTTTATTTTTGTTCACTTTATTGGTATTCAGATGTATGTTTTTATCTTTAAAGAGTTTTCATCATGGGGTACTAGAGAGGATGCTCAGTGGTAAGGAAAATGTGTTGTTACTGTAAGCGATTTGTGTTTGGTCCCCCTGTGACTCCAATTCCATAGTGTTCTCTCACCGTATAGTGACCTCTGCAGGCACTGCATTCTCTAAGAGCTCATAGATGCAGACACAAACATACATGCACACAAAATAAATATAGACATATAAATCTTTTTAGAAATAACTTTTCACTTTGACATGAAGGTTTATGTCATAGGAAATGTCAAGTTCCAGTTCTTCTGAGCTTTTAGTAAAGTGCAGTGTTCTGATACCATCTGATCCGACAGAAAACTGTCCCATCTCCCAGTTTGATTTCAGAAGCACATAATGTTTATGATGCACAAGAAGTATAAACTGTTGTCATTACATGGGTGAAGGCTATAATTGATAATACAGTGAAATTATTAACATCATTAATCTGTACAAAATATAACATGAAACACTAATATGTAATTAACAAATGATAGCATGAGAAGAACATTAAGTTCCTAAACATTTCTTTTAAAACTGAGCATGTACTTGCTGCTTTTTTTGTGATTTTTCATGATGGGGTATCACTGTGTAGCTGTGGCTGCCCTCAAACTCACTACATAGATCCAGTTGGGCTCAAATTCACAGAGAGATGCCTTCCTCTGCCTCCAAAGTCCTGGGATGAAAGATTTTCACCACACGTCTGACTTATCTGCTTATTCTTATATATTCATATATTCATGAATCTATTACAATACTATTTATGATGCATTCAAATATAGGAGCTGCATGTGAGATAATAAAGTGCAATCTGAATAATGTGAAACCTTAAATATTGGCCAGAAGGATACAGCATACTAAATGATAGTACGAAATTAGTTGACAGAACCCTGGAACATC